ATCGATTGAAAGGGGACTGCAAAGATGTGTAAAAAGACCCAAGTTAGAATTTTACTGTGGTTTCACTCAAAACTTGTCTGTTGTTGATACAATATAAGGATGATTTGTGGTGAGAATGTCGGGGAAATTGTAGTTTAAATCAACATGAAAGTAACAAACAATTGCAGGGTGGTAATATATATTAATTCAAACTGCCACTACTAAAAAATAGCTGCATGAACTCATTTCAGTAGATATTTTTAAAAGTTTAGAGTAAATTAGAGTTTATTTTCTTGAACTGCATTATAAATGGGGCTCCGTTAAATTTTACCGTTTCATTAAAAAAAACCAGACAAATGTGTTACAATGAAACAAATAGTTTAGCAATGACAGCACAAAGACAGAATGTTAAAAACATCTTGATGTGAATGAAGAAATAATCTGATGTTTAACACAGTGGTGTCAATTAGGATCACTGAACAACTGAAAATTTAGGATTTTGTAAATATGTTCTACCTGTTTGATACATTATCCTAAGTTATTAATATATGTGTAAAACTTTGGCACTGTGGTAGTAAGTAATTCCATATTATGAATAATTCCCATTCGAACATTAGTAGACAGAAGACAAGTAGTTCAGCGAAGAGTCTCTTTTCGGCGAATTCATTTTCATAGCTGTACAATCGCAAATATATATGGTTATTTTGTGTGTGTGTGTGTGTGTGTATACATTAAATTTGTCAAACGAAAATACAATTAGTAGGTTCAGATGAATTGGATGTTGATAAGAGGATAGCAACAAAAGTGATGAGTTGTCATAAATGATTGTTAAATAAGAGTTACGTAATGGCATGAATAGTTTGATGAATGAGTTGTGCCCTGCGGCAACACTAAGAATAGTGTTCTCCAGTCGCCCGCTGATCTACAGAAACCCAAAGGACAAGATTCCGCACATGACCACTTCTATGTGTATATATCAGTTCACCTGTTGCTGTGGAGCCAGGTACATCGGTCGTTCAACGCGCATCCTGTCTAAAAGGGTAAAAGAACACTATCCAGCGTGGCTACAGAAAGGAAATAATGGCCATATAAGGAGTGCAATAATCGAACATCTCGTCAATACTGGTCATTCCATCTCAATGAACGCCTCCTTCAAAGTAATCTACAAAGTGAAGAACAACCTTCCAAAGACAGTACGATTCCGTCTTCTTTGCATCGCAGAAGCCCTAGCCATCCAGTTGGAGGAACCAGAACTATGCATACAAAAGAAAATTATCCAACCACTTCTACTCGCATGGTAACTACTCCTTTGATTTGACCTAACTTTTCTTTGTTTGTTTGATTTGACCTTACTTCTGTTTGTATGCTTATTTTTCTAACTTAAAACCCTTGTGTAATTCTGTATATTATTTTGTTTCCATGTACACCCTTTGAGCACAACTCATTCATCAAACTATTCATGCCATTACGTAACTCTTATTTAACAATCATTTATGACAACTCATCACTTTTGTTGCTATCCTCTTATCAACATCCAATTCATCTGAACCTACTAATTGTATTTTCGTTTGACAAATTTAATGTATACACACACACACACACACAAAATAACCATATATATTTGCGATTGTACAGCTATGAAAATGAATTCGCCGAAAAGAGACTCTTCGCTGAACTACTTGTCTTCTGTCTACTAATTCCATATTAGTTTGTTTGTTATATGTATCACACAGTGAAACAGTATTATTTACTGGATGACGTGTCGAACAAAATTTATTGTTCATAACCATGTCAGTTATAAACACACGACTTGGAAACTTGAATTTTATAGTTTCCTTTGTTCTCTCCTATCTGTCGTGGGGGTAGTAGAATTTTCCAGATATATGGGACAGATGTTGAATCATTCCTATTACACATATTTGCAGTTGATTCGACAAACAAAGCTTCTGTTATCCATCTCTCCCTCCATCTTGTGACGTCACATTTCAAAACTGTCATCCTATGCCATCCTATTGTACGGTTGTGTGTTACTGCATGTAGTGAGTGGTATAGCTGTACTATTGTCTAGATTTCAAACCTGATTCGAGTCAACTAATCTAGATTTTGCTAGGGTTCTGTGCTCGATTAGTCTGACTGCACCTGTTATACTAGTGTGACCTATGTATTTGATATGACAATCATTGAAGGCGGGGTATTAGATAAACTAAATTATTTTATTTTAAAGGCTCCACAGGATCCTTTAACCGACAAAGTTTGTTTCTAATTGAGTTTTTGGGTTTGAATGCCAGTCACTTTTATTCCTGCCTTGTTAAGAATTCTGCGTAGGGCTTCCGAGGTTCCTTCCTTGTATGGAATTACTGTTGATGATTTAGATTCCTCATTGTTGGTGTTGTCATTATCCTGTGCATGTTTGACATGCTTGTTGTCAATTATATTATTATAATTATTATCAATATCACTACTATCATTATTCATTTTATTTTTACATTTCCCTACATATTCCCTGACTAATTTATCTGGGTAATTATTAAGTTTCAAGGCTTCTGTTAAATGTCTCACTTCCTGTCTTAGATTTTCCTTGGTACTACTTAGTTTTTGTGCTGTGTCATTTAAACATTTCATCAATCCTATTTTTACTGACATAGGATGGGATGATCGGAAGTCCAAATATCTGTTTGAACGTGTGGATTTCCTGTAAGCATTAGTGTTTAACTTCCCATCTTCTTTCTTTTTTACGCTACAATCTAGCATTGGAAGTTCCACTTCCTGACTTTCCAATTCATAAGTGAATTGAATTGCCAACACTTTTGAGTTAATATGTTCAAAAAACCTGTCTATATCCTGTGTTCTAAGTACAGTAAATCTGTCATCTACATACCTCTACACACCTCCACCCTTCTTTTCGGGTGGACGTGAAAGTTTCAGTCGCTACCTTTTCCCTCCTATCCATGAATATATCAGCCACAATCGTGGATATTGGTGACCCCATGGCACCTCCCTCATTTTGTTTGTATATTTTCCCCTGAAATTCAAATACTGTGGAAGTCAGGCATAACCGCACTCCTAGCATTATGTCCTCAAGTGGCATTTTCGTTCTAAGTTCGAGTTCTTGGTCAGAAATGAGTTCGTTTCTGACTGCCTCTATAGCCATAATTTTTGGCATTTATTGGTTATTGTCATAAGTTATTAGAAACAATTTGACCTATTCAGGTGCTTCTGTATAACGGTAGGAATTTGGTATACTAGTCTGCTGTGAAATAATTTATTATCTATTCTAATATGACTCTTTGTATACGTTGAGTATGTATGTTGTTTTACTACTGGTATGATTTTCATTCACATGGTTTCACGATGGTTTTTTTAAAAACATTTATTTTACCAGATTATATCATATTTAATTCACACTATTATAAGTGTTTGAACGATATAGTTAAGCACTCATGGATGATATAAGTGATGAAAAGTATAAAAATTTCACTTTATTAGGAAGTCTTGCTTTTCCCAATGTTATTCAATGTTTGATCTTTAGGAAGAAATTTTAGTAGGTGCCTACTGCATATGAATCCCAAAGAAGGCTAAAACAGCTGTCCGGTACTCCTTAGATTTTACTGGTTGACCACCGATTGCTGATATCAATCGGTGGTCAAGGTTGAATTCAGTCAAAACTATTCCACTTTTTATCACAAGATAATTAATGGATTACAAAATATGTTTTAAGTTAACAATTAATTATATAGAATGTGTTAGAGATTTTTCACTGAGGCCTTATGTTCCTTTGGAAACATAAACAATGAATAATAATTATAATAATACTAGACAGTTGAAGGGTGAATATATTTGCCTAATGATAACAGTTCAATGGATTAAGTGTTTGTTTTCCTTCAGTAAAGCGTATGATTAAGGGGTAAATCAAAGAATTTATATTTTCAGATTATTGGGATAATAATGGTATTAGTGCGAATAAAGTTATTATTCACAGTTTTATAGTGTCATCGATAACCACAACGGAAATACACCTTTTCCTAAAGGTCTTCGTACTTTTCCATGAATAAAATTCGAATATATCTCAGTGTTCAGTGTAGTGAAAATGAACAGTGGTGATATCTGCAGAATTAAGCGCAACAGATTAGTTCCACATAAAAAGGATTATTACAGCAGAATAAAATTATTTTCCAAGGTAGAGTAAGTATTGTGCAGTACAGATGTTCACTCGTTTTTATATTTGCTACTCTTTCATATATATATATATATATATATATATATGGTTTTGCGTTTCGATACTTTGTTCGACATCTTCATAGAACATATAAACTAGGTTTGAAGTAGTACTTGTTACCGCATGTCTTACTTATTACTGTTCAGCATACAACTTATGTACCACATTCATCAGTAGCTGTTTTCTCTCCATATCAAAAATCACATGACCAGAAAAGTGCGTCGGTGGCACAGCGGTTAGGACACTCACCGACCATGCACATGATCCGGGGTTGGACCCCCTGCCAACGTACACCTGATATCTATGGTCGGCCTGCAAAATTTGATCTACCAATATCACATGCTGAAAATTCCATACCTGTACCAAAAATACAGTGTGGAATCAAGGTGTAATCAAAATCAAAAATCAAAATTAGTAACACGGAACTCTGGTAGACATCGAGCCAATCAAAAACCTATCCTCTAAAGAATATACACAAGGAAATGCTAATGGACTGTACACATGCTAAGGAGATTTGTTGAATGATATCGAGCACCTAGCAGAACTTTGAGTGGAATCCTAAAGGGAAATAATGAATTGGACATGGGCTTGAAGATAATATGGAGGAGATTAGATGGGGAAAAAACGCAGGCAAATGGGTGGCTAAAACAGACTAGAGAAAAAATAGAATAGATAGGTGCTATTCCACTTGGGATCCAAGGGCATAATAAATAATAATACTAATAATAATCATAATCAGGTAAACAATACAAAGAATTATTCTACAGTGATAAGATAGATACATAACAATCTCATAATGACTTACATAATGTTTTCACCTTCGAAAGCAATTATATTCTTTTAATGTTTTCTTTTATTCAAATATTGTCAGAAGAGATAAGATTAATTGAAGTACTATAACGTAATTGTTCTCCTTCTCCCTCTCTATATATACTTGCGGCTTTCAAATACGCTAACAAAAAAGTTGGCGTATTTGTCAAAATATATATTATTATGCTACTATATTAGATTAAAATATATATATGTATATATATATATATATCTTTCTTTCTATCGGTTATATCAGTAAAATACTGTTTTCAACTATGCTGAATATTGTAGAATAAATAAATACATACATGTCGGGATTTTTGTTGTGCTTTTTTTATGAACATTTTTGTGTGTGTTCATTGAAGAAAATAAGGAACTAGTTAGTTTTTGGCTAACTTTAACTGTCTCCTTATGAATACACAGATATATATATCTTCTTATATTTCATCATTATCATTGTTGTTGTTGTTGTTAGGGTTGTCATTGAAATGTGACTGTGTTTTTCTGGTTTTTTTTTGCCTTTTTGCATTACCTGACATCATACAATCATTTTGATTGGATGTGTTGTTAGGTCTAATTATTTATTATACTATTATGCCCCTTTTTACTTTTCCTTCATCTCTCCCTCTTCCTCCTCCTACCTGTAATTTCTTACCTACTCTTGTGTTTTTTTAGTTTTTTGTTGTTGTTTGTCTTGCTTTCATGTTGTAGGTGGAAACAAAAGAGCAGATATGCAAACAAAAAGGAACAAGTGTAATAATATACAAAATATAAAGGCTTAAGTTTACTTTTATGATAATAATAATAATAATAAAGATAACGGTTATTCAGTACCTAAGGAAGGTGTTAAGAAAAAAACATGTTTTACTGCAGAAAAAAAGAGGTTAAATGAAACGCGTCTTTGGTATTGAATATTTACCTGACTTTAGCTCTTCTTCATGCATATACCATTTCAACTGTTCCTATGGTTCAAGTTATATAGGGCGAACGATTAGGCAGGTTCGTCTACAGGTTCGAGAACGCTTACCAGCTTGGTTCAGCAGGGGGGAAATTAAGTGCATAAAAAAAGAGTAATTCTGTCACACTTGGTCGATACTGGACATCGTATCGATGTCAGCACAGCTTTCAGGGTTATATACCGAATTCCGAAGTCGTTATCACGTACAGTTCGCTTACGTCTCCTACACATAGCTGAAGCTATTGCAATAAGATCGACTCAACTAGAACTTTGTATCCAAAAAGAACACGTCCAGACGCTGTTCCTACCGTGGCCAAACTTGGATTGATGATTTTTCTTCTCACCAAGAGTGCTCCTTCCCCTTAACCCTCTTGGTTTTTTTTTGTTTTTTTTCGTTTTTACTTTGATTATTATCATAAATATTATTATTATTACAGTTATTATTATTCGTCATAATTTATGCCCTTTATGCAAACATTCCCTCAATACTATCGAATTTTCATTTATACGGACTTATTATTAGTGGTATTATCTGTTTTCTCAATATACACCTCCACCTGTTTCATTCAACATATTCGTTAACTCACTATGATCCTCTCATTCCAGTCTTACTATCTCTTCTGTTTAACCCAGACCACTTTGTACTAGCGACTCACCTGACACCTTCAATAACCTTGAAGTGATTTGTCAATTTTCCTACTCCACATTCTACAATTCTACTATGATTTTTTAATCACCACCATTGTCTCCCGTTTTACAATATTTTTAATCGATTTCAGCCTAGCGCGTTTGTCACACAAATATGACTATTTATTTTGACATCCCATAACTAATCTGTTATTCTACGTTAAAAATGTATCCGCCGCATAACTGGCCTTTATTGTAACGACCACAAATATTATATTTTTTAATTGTAAGAACCTGAGGAGAAATTATTGAAAAGAATATTCTTCGTACAGATTGACTTTTAATTCATAATATGGGAATATTTCACAAAATCAAATCTTATCTCTAAACTCCTGTTTTAATTGGCACGATATACTACCGATTGACTGGCTTGGATAGTTGTAGTATATTACTGAAATTGAGCAGTAGTGCTTGCCATTTAGAACATTGGACAGCAGTTGTGCACTTTCAGGTGGTATACACAAATGCTCATATGAATCATGTATGAACGACATGTGTTTATACATGATCTCTCCATTGTTATTTGTAGTAACAGAGAGATCCCATTTAATGGGAACTGAATAATTTTGGTCTCCGAAGGAAAGTGTGGGGATGTTCCACCTCGAAGTGAGTAGATTGTAGCTGATGGCGTAATTCTTTTTATTCCTTCACATTCCCAGTGGAAAATAGAGCTTCAAGCTGGAGACCTGATGTTTCTGTAGCAGTGGTGTTTATTTTTACGGGATGGGGTTACTAGTCTCATGCCCAACCTTTCCTCTTTACCAGCTTTATTACTGGCCTAACGAGGTAAAGGAGTGCGTCGGCGCCTGGGGATCGAATCCCGGACCATATGCATGGTCGGCAAGCGTACTAACCGCTATGCCACCGACGCACAGACGACGTAATTACGAATTTTGAGTTTCGTTTAGCGTGTTTTTACTATCAATAAAATTCTCGGAAACAAAAGACAGAATGGTATTTAGGAGAAAAAACTATGCATAACAGTACATCTGTAATGCATTTAGGTTCTTAGCATACGTAAGCTGAACAGAGTGTAAAGGAATAATTGTCTGGAAAATCTCTCATGAACGATTTAATCACAAAAGTTATACCTATTTGGACGTTTCATCTACCTGTGTAATTATTATCCGTTTTTATTCCAGAGTGTATATCATTATTCTGATATTTGCATATCATATGTCGACTCGATCCCTATCTTTGATTTTAATGCTCCTCTTTGTGGTTTTGCAACAAACTGATAATGTGTCGTCTTACTGTAGGATTTGTTCTGAGTGAACCGAGATCATTTTGACCTCGAACTGTCTGTGAGATCCATCAGCGTGTGGTATCTGTGGACAGAGTTTTTGATCCCATCTTTTACGGAATATTTCATTTTTTTCTTAGTGCTTGTTTTGTACTTAAAAAATTATCTTGCCTGTATATCTGCTTAACAGCAGTGCTGAGAACCACATAGATTTAACCAAGAATAAACATCATATCGCTGTATTTGGAGCACTTTATTACTCAAGGAAGTACAGTAGGATGGAGAGATCAATTTCTTCAGTTCAAACCACAACGAGTCGGTTTTGGTTGTGACATGATGTAAGAACTGCATATCCTTTTGTAACCATAATCAGTAGTGAATACACAATCCAATCCATCGGTGTTTCTTTCTGCATATTTTCCGGATGACATTTTCTTAGAGGGTTCATTGTCTGCTAGAGTTACTTTTTGCTTATGGTTTCTGGCTGGCCACCTGATCTTTACTATTGAAAGGAGGCAGCTGTATATAAATGTCTCCAATAGCTTGTTGGAAATGCTTTTTATCACTTGATATTGGTTTTGAAGATCTGGATTTTGTTCCTTATGCTGAATGCAGCACATTTGAACACTGAATTCTAGAGGATGAAGGTCTATGTTGCTTTTGCGGTCCTACCCTTGGCATTTCCATTTGTGCTGCCTTTAGTTGACACGATGATAACTGGTTAAGTGAAGAAGGTGGTCTCCCTCAAATTTCAGCTGATGATGGCGTCAGATGTTAGACAAAGGAAGTTAGGTGGATGGAATCAGTTGGCGAGGGGCCCTAGATATAGGTTTTGTACGCCATATCAGAGTTCATCACTAAGTTTTACGTGAAGTTTCAAAAGAAATGATTTCCTCCGAAGATTCAACGGTGTGTCACTCGATGCTGCAGTCAAAGACGTTATCACTGAGCTTCCTGACCTTATGTTTAACCACCCGTAAGGCTGTACCAGATACGTTGATGAGCTACTGGGAAGTAGTCAGTATAATCTGTCTAGTCATTAATGCCGTTATAAATAATAAAATTTAATTTTTTTTCCTTCACGTTCCCAGTGAAACCTAGAGCCGTATGCTAGTGGCTTGAAGTTTCTGTAGCGGTGTTTAATTTTTACCTGATGGGGTTGCTAGCCTCATGGCCAACCTTTCCTCCTTACCAGCATTATTTCTGGCTTAGCGAGGCAAAGGAGTGTGTCGGTGGCCGGGGATTGAACCCCGGACCATGTGCATGGTAGGGGAGCATCCTAACCGCTATGCCACCTACGCTTGCCGTTATAAATAATTATTTGAAAGTCAGTGTTTTCCGTATTCCAAAAAGCATAAACCAGAAAACACTCCATGTTTGGTAAACAATTGAGTGAAATATAAATCTATGGGTAATAGGCGTCTCAAATCACAGAGTTTTGCAAAAATGACTGAAATTTGGTCTTTTTCCAATTCAAAATTACACAGTGGAATGTTCACTACTCCGATGAGTCACATATATAAACTTTTAAAGTGATAAAAAGAATATATTTCGATTAGTGGTCAATTGGCTGCGAAAAATTTGAAATAAGTTGGCATATCTAGCCTGAAAAGTGTGTTATTGATAATATAAATACCAACGATTGGTTGTGAGCAAAATTCACATACAGTGAAACACTAAAAAGGGATAAATGTTTAAATAAATTGTTGAAAACACACTACTCGTAATTCATTTCAAATCCTTAATCTTACAAAAGTAATAAATTCAAAAGAATATTAGAAACAGTAGTCAGTGAATCAAGAATTTCGTAAGTTTTATTGATTCAAGCAGCTCAGATCTAGGAACGACAGTTTTGAAAATAACTAAAGAGCTTTGACGTATTATAAAACATTTGTTTGGCGTTCATCTATTCATGTTCGCAACCAAACTACTTTATTGTTATTAAATCTATCTTGTGATATTTTTTAAAACTTTACAGCTTCATTCTTGCCAGTATTTCCCCGGTTTATAATATACTAGGAGGCTGAACTCCATCATATTTCTCCTCAGTAAAGTAAAAAACTGGGTCGTCCGTCGCACAGTGGCGGAATGATCGCCGACCATGTATGTAGTTCGGGGTTCGATCCCCTGCTGACGCAC